CGGTCGAGTGAGTTGAAAGCTGCTTTCAGGTCTAGGAAGACAGAGATGATAGATCTACGAAAGGAATGTCGGTGCTCCAGAGTTTGGCGGATAGTAAAGACGTGGTCGATACAACCTGGACCAGGTCTAAAGACAGCCTGGCTCTCACGTGTGCCCTCTTCACGTGCGGCAGTTAATCGACGGAGTATGATCCCAGCGAGAAGTTTAAAGCCGATATTGAGGTGATTTTCTGCCCAATACTGCAGGTATCTACGATAATCACCTAACTCAAGAAAGAATCAAAGTGGAATGACTAATTCATTGTGTTCTCTCTCTCATTTTAATGCCCAGTATCCCCACCGCTCGAGTTGGTTTGGTGGTGGTCAGCTTTGGTTTTGTTCCAGCTGAATACAACACCTGCCGTTTGGGGTCCTAATGTGGGTGGTTTGTTAGTCCTGGGGTTTCGGTTCTCATATGCTATCAGGAGCTCTTCGTGATTGTGAGTTCCACTCCTATCACTCACTATTTGCCACACTTATTTAAGTGATGATAAGGCATGGTACGATGCCATTCAAAATGTGTCACCCGTTTCGCATTACCAGACAGAAATAAGTTCTGGCGGAAATCGTATACAGTAGTCCGGAACACCAAGAAACTCTTAAACGGATCACTGCAAGTATTGTCAGTTTTTCCTGCCAACGAAAATGATTTGTTTACCAAAAAAGCCTACCGAGCAAAATACGGACAAGTTCAGCACTGACAACGGACGTGATTTGTCCTGCTCCAATCAGCTAAGTGTAAGCGAAGTCAGTTTGCTTTTGCTAACAGCAACTCGTTCAACAAACAGTTCGTTACAAGTAAAGTCTGGCTCCTTATGGCACCTTCGAGTTACTCATTTTATCCCTTGCAACTGTGAATTCACTGTGCCAGGACCAAATTGGAACGTAAACTCACGTGGTTGTTGCAGCTAGTTGGTGTCATAATGAACTAGTTTTGTGCTATATTCACCACCAAGAATTGTCTCTAACACATTCCTGTTTAGTGCGAAAGCACGTCCTCCCAAACCGCTGTAGTCCACCATCGAGATGGGCGTCGCATGCTATGATACTTTAACACTACCACGTCAACTCAGAGCTTGCTTTTCTTATGGAACGAAACGACGGGGTGTTTTTTCCTGTTACCCCTAAGATCATGCGTGCTACAAAAAGGTTTCCAACGAATTACAACATCGAAATACGGTTCACAGGATCACCATCGGCCTCGTAGACAGAATAGAGTAAATAGTTTGTGGATCACGGGGAGCAAGTTGCAGTAACTCGTAGGTAGTCGGTATTCGATTTCGCTTTGCTGTCCAGCAATAAACACTGGTGTCTATCTTCATTCTGGAGACAGTTGTAGACGTAGAGTATGCCGATGATATTACCTTATTCGGTGACAGCACACTGCAGACTCAAAACACGCTGAGTTGTTTGGCAATTGAGGTAGCTGGTTAGGGTATGTCCTTTGTATCTTCAAAGTGCAAGGTGCTGTTGCGAGACTGGCGGGAGCCCGTTGGTTAACCACACTCTGGAAGTCGTGGAGGCTTTCTCTACCCCGGAAGTTGTTTTAAGGTTGCCGGCGGTGTGGTTGAGATCTATCAATGCGTAATCAAGGCCAGATTAGCGTTCGCTAATCTGCGACATATCTGGCTCCGGCGTGACATATCCTTTTCACTCAAAGAACGTGTCCATTGCGCACCGGTACGCACCGTTTTGCTCTACGGCTGCAAAACTTACTCTTTCCGAGTAGATCATGTCCAACGAATATCTTTCTTTGACAACTGTTGTCTGCGCAGCGTCACTCGCGTATGGTGGAAGCACCTCGTGAATAACGATGAGGTCAGACGACGTGTCAGAGAGTCCTCTGTTGAGCGCAACTATATATATATATATATATATA